AGCACGCGTGGTGACTGAGCTGCTGCCAGCTTCACGGTCAGCTGGCTGCTCAGCAGTCCCCCTTGAATCTGGCATGTCCAGCTGCTCACCACCCACTCCCCACTGAATCTGCCGCCAGCTTCCTTGCGTCTGGAGGTGGGGCCCCACACAGGCTGATTTGCCCCGGGCCCCACAACCTGCTCAGGTCATCTCTGTATATCCCCCAAAGCTATTGTAGAACTGTCTTGTTTACAGTGTTTGTCTGAAACTTGAGAAGACTTAGACAATTTTTCTTAACTAATTCAATTGCCATCCAAGTATCCTGTGGATGTAAACTGTGGGGGTTAATAACAGGCCATAAAAGAAAGTACTTCCTTTCATTGCCTTTCATTTCACCTACTGTCCCACTTGTTCAGTTGCAAAGACAAAGGAATAATTAGGCAATAAGATCTCTGGCTTGGAAGTCACATTTTGTGTATGTTTGTGTGGCATCAATTACAAAGCAGCAACAATCATGATGGGAGCACTGCATCGTAACAAAGACAGGAACATTGGAACAGTTGCAGAGAAAGTGCTACCAACTGAGTGAACCTCCCTGACTGTCCCCTCATCACTATTTTTTACAGCTTAGAACTAACACTGATCTTTAACCACCAAGCCTCCCATGCTCATCAAAATCTGAGTAGTGTCTGGATCCCATTGAAGAGGGAGGTAAAACTGCAATGGACACGAGCCCATGTGACCATCAACTGGACCTTGGTAGTGAACCAATTCAAAAGATTAATCACTCTGCATCCCTTTAACTGAGCAGATGTTTATGAGTATACAGCAACAACCCATATTTAATTATTGTTGAAAATGTCTTTTAAAGGATAGGTTATTGGGTTTAAACTAGAAGATTTAATGTGGGGGGGAGGGGAGGGGGCAAAAAGAAAAAACTTCAGATAACCACTAAAACAAATGGACAGACAGACAAAAGAGATATTTAAACTCTAATAGCAATTTTAACTTGGCAGGATTTTCATAAAGTAGCTTTCAGTATAAGTGGGATAATATAGCCAAATGTTTTCCAGTAAAACAGTTCAGTAGAGTTAGATAAAAGGGAGTTGTTTCCATTATTGTTCCATGACTTTAAGACACCTTACTAGACAACCATCGTAATAAAGGCAAATTATACAGCTAAACTGAAGTCATTATCATGTTCACTGTGTTCTACGTTAAAACTTTATTTTAATTCAGTTATATAGAACAGTGTTGGGTTAAGAGTTTCTGATTGTGCTTACCACATTCTTTACTATAGGGAAAATTAGAGACCAGCTGCTCACAAAAGAAGGAAAACAATTGCTTAGTTCTCTTTTTCTGAATCAAAAGGAAAGCCAAAATATATATTTCTGCTTTTCCAAGGATTATTCCTTTAAGAAGAGTCTTAAAGGCACACCCCTGAATTTCCCATGGTCTCATGTACTAGAACAAGAGCTCCCCCCTACCCCCCCAAAAAACACTGCTAAAATTTTGTCTAGCCTGAGACAGTTGGCAAGGTGTTTACTTTTGAGAGAAACATATTTGAGAGGCATCATGTAATGTACCAACACAGAAACCAAACAGAAAAAAACATTAAGAGTAGTTAATAATTTAGTTATACTATACACATAAATGTCTGTCTTCTAGTGTTCCAATAAAACAAAACAAAAAATTAACCTCTTCTGGAGGAATGCACTGAATTTTTTGTGTCACTCCATAAAAACTTGTAAGGGCTTCTTTTATGGCACTCATCTGAAGATTTAAAAGACAGGGAGAGTCAAAAAGCACTTCCACAAATAAATACCCTCTTTGTATGTTCCCATTTACCATTTTGCATACCACATAACTCTTAAGTAACTATAAAACTAGATGAGTTTGCTTATCTACCTTGGGTTTGAAACTTCCAATTCCTAAAAGATGCATTAAAATGATTTTATTTAACATACAAGAACATATTTTACCTGGTAATGTGTATGGCCTGGTTTTATTCCAACTTTCAAGAGGTAACTGGAACAGACAAAAAAAACAAAACAAAAAACAAAACCCAACTAGAATACACTTTTACATTTCATTTGGAGTTGATACAAATGAGTAAATAGCCAATCCTAATGGGAGAGCTAGACAATTAGATTTAATGAAGGAAGAAGCACAGCTCCTCAGTACCCTCCTGGGCTTGAGAAAGCAACTTTCTTTATCGGGTTTCCCAACAGTCTGATCCACAGCTGCAGTTTGGGAGGAGTATGCTAATGTTCTTTGCCCCCACTCTGCAGAGCATCAGGCTGCAGTGTGGTATGCTGGTCCAGACAGAAGTGACAATGTTCACCTGATCTGGCCACAGGAAGCAGTTTATAGCTGTGACCAAACACAAGTGCACAGCTGCAAACAGTTTTAAAAATGGCTGATTGCGTGAAAATATGACCCCTCATTGCATGAGGTATTAGATGAAGATGTTACAAAAGGTAGCATCTTTAGCAACTTGTGTCTACGGAGCTCCCAGCCTGTTGCCATTTTCAGAATGGGAGGGGAAAAGGGAGCAGAGGGAGTTCAGTCTGAGGAGTTTTCAGCTTCCCCCACCCTTCCAATACACCCACCCCACCCTCTGGAACCTCCCTGCGGTTGGGGGGGGGGGGGGGGGGGGGGCCCACT